TCCCTCATGAAGTTGCCGGTGGGCGAACAGGCCGTGGGTAGCCGCTGGGTTTACCGTCTTAAGCCCACAGCGACCGGAGAACCGCAGTATAAGGCCAGATTAGTGGCAAGAGGATTCACACAGCGCAGGGGGTTGCATTATACAGAAGTTTACGCTCCCACCTCTAGGAGTGAATCTCTACGCTTGGTCTTGGCCATTGCTGCACAAAGAGGTTTGCTGGTGCATCACTTTGATGTGGATGTTGCTTACTTGAACTCAGACCTCCAGGAGGATCTGTACATGCTTCCTCCTCCAGGGTTTGAGGGCAATGAGCAAGGTACTGTGTGGAAACTTCACAAGTCAATTTACGGCCTGAAGCAGTCGGCCAGGAATTGGAACTTGTGCCTGAATGAAGCTTTGGAGAAGCTAGGTTTCAGGAAGAGTCTTGCTGACAGTTGCCTGTTCCTTAGAGGATCAGGAGACTCACAGGAACTGGTGTTATTTTACGTTGATGACATCATCCATGTTGGAAAGGCAGACAAACAGGTGCAGAAGTTTGCCAAAGAGCTTGGGAAACGGTTTCAGCTCAAGAACCTGGGTGCAGTAAAGATCTACCTGGGCGTCCAGATAGCGAGAACTGAGGATGGTAGCTTCTTGCTCAGTCAGAAATGCAAGATTGAGAAGTAGCTTGAGAAGTTCAGAATGTCCAATTGTGCAGGAGTTCGGACACCCATGGAGACGAACTTCGTGAAAGATAGCCAGCAAGCAGAAAGTGCTGAGTTTGAGAATGCTGAGCTCTTTCAGTCAGCTCTAGGTAGTCTGTTGTATCTGTCCCAATGGAGCAGACCAGACATTGCCTTTGCTACCAACCTGCTAAGTAGGGAAGCGTCAAAGCCCAGTGTGAGTGCTTGGCACGGTATCAAGCGGGTACTGCGCTACCTGCAGCATATCAAAGACTTCTGTCTTAAGCTGCCAGCTGAAGGTGAGGCGAAGCTCACATGCTATGCGGACAGTGACTGGGCGAATTCGCAGGACCGCAAGTCTGTGTCTGGGTTGGTGGTAAAGTTTGGGAAGTCACTGGTTGGGTGGAAGTCCCAGATGCAAAGTCTCATTGCGCTGTCTTCTACTGAGGCTGAATTCAGTGCACTGTCAGATTTGTGCCGGGAACTAGAGTTCTATAGATGCTTGGTGCAAGAGATCTATGGGGATTGTAGCTTGCCCATCACGGTTTGGGAAGACAATCAACCCTGTTTGAAATTGGCTGAATCTGCGCAATTTAAGGCCAGAACCAAGCATCTGGACATACGTTTCCAAAATGTGTGTCAGAGTGTTCAGTCAGGTTTGATACGGCTGAAGTACTGTGCCAGTCACAGTAACTTGGCCGATGGATTTACCAAACCTTTAAGCTTCCAGCGTCATGGGGAGTTTTGTGGTGGTTTGGAGTTGGGGGTAAGTTCTGTACTTACTTTCCCCACAGTAGCGCAGGGCGAGAGGGGGTGTGAGGAGAACCTGAGCTTACAGGGTTAAACAGCTCAGAGTGTGCGCCCTGCCTACTGTTGGGAGGGGGGAAGTTCGTCATTTCCGAGAGCCTCAAGCCTTTGTTCTTCTCTCTACTTTCGCTTTTGAGGGGAGAGGACGTGTTTTCACGATGCTGTTCGCTGTGATAGATAATGGATAGTCTGCTGTAAATAAAACTGCTTTTAGCTGCTAAGATCCTGAGTGGACTTTATTTAAGCACACTGAAGAATGCTCTGGAGTTTTTGCAGTCTTTCTCTTGCCGCTGTTGATCTCTGCTTTGCTCAGAGCATCGGAATGTGGACTTTGGAATGCAGAGGCCTGGCCGGCAAGAGCTGCGCAGTTGAAGCGTGCCGGACGTCAGGCTTATCTGAGCAATAAATCAATCTGCTTAAGAGTTTATTTTGGGTATGTGTGTAGATGGGAAGAAATGTACATTTGATTATTTGTAGGTAAATGGGTGAAATGTCTCCACTCAAAAACAGTATATTGCAGGTGATGGGAAATATTAAAGTTTTACCAGTAGAATATATACAGTACAGAGCAATCCTAACTATAGAAAGCTGGTGTAAGTTATCACACTTAGGCTGATGTAGATTATCACTATTCCAAATGTTGTTCAGGAGGAATTTTGCCAGCTATGTTCTGCCCAGCTGCTGGGTCATGCACCAAGCTGAAAGCAGTTTGAAATAGGTATAAGTCTCCCCTTATTCCATCCCACTCCTACCACATCCCCAAGTAAGTTAACACTCCTGTCTCAGTGACTGACATCTATGCTATCTTGGTCATGTCCACAGAATAGAAGATGACAGGATCTCCAAGGGCATGCTCTGCAGGGAGCTGGTTTCAGGCACCAGGCCTGTTGGCAGACCAACTTTGTGTTCTTGAACTCTGATAACGCCTTTTGCTTGGATGGATGATAATGATGCAGAGGGGTGTGTGAGTATATATAGAAACAAGCCACACCAACCTTTGCATCTAGCCACGACAACCACTGGTCTGGAAAGAGACAAGGGGGGCTGAAAGGGCTCTGTAGGGAAGGCTTTTCATAATATTGGAGCTATTCCTTAAATGTCCTTGCCTGCCATGTTTCTAACAGGAGCAAGAATAGGGTGTCATATGCCAAAGTTATGGGACACCATGGAGTTTCCCTTCCTTTCCTAACCCATTCATTTCACTAATGATAATTTTTTTATTATAATAATTTATATTAATTTTTCATTAATAATAATCCAATATAAGACACATTGATACAATACCAAATCATAAAATAATTTAATAAAAACCAATTATTTCATTCCAAATTAAACATTTTTGGGTGACTTTCTATGTTCTGGTCTTTTTTTTTTTTAAATAGTATTTATTAGGGTTTTAAGTTTACAAAAAGGCAAAAGAAAACACACCAAATTAAACAATGACAAAACAACACATCACAATAAAAAAACATAAAGATAGAAACAATTTTTTTAAAAAAATATCAAACCTTCCCATAACTTATCTTTCATTTGCTTGTTTCCCCGACCTCCTCACACCTCCCTTTTTTGTATTCTAAGTCAATTATCCATTTCAGCAAATTCTTTCCCTCTCTTCAAAATTTTTATCCTGAAAATTTATCTTGATCTTAATATAAATTTACTTTCCCTCTTTTCACCAATTAACAGTCTATTTTTCTTAAATCTTTGTTACATTTTTGCTAAAATCACATAGATTCATTCCAACATCATTCTAACATTCATTAATGGTCTTGTGGAGATACTGTTGTTGCTCCTTCTCCTGCTTCCATTCTTATTTAATCCGAATAATACCATTCCGATGTTATTCCTTTATCTTTGCAGCCACTGACGTAATGACTTTCATTCGTATTTTTAACTGTTCCATCTCTGTTAATTTGTCAGAGGGGGTTATATCTTCTAACTTTCTCTGTGTAATATATTTTAATGTTTGTCTTTCCTTTACTGTTGCAATCCATTATTTCTGGCATTCCCACCGACACCACTCCGAGAACTTAATTCTTACTGCGCAATCCTCTCCAAAATGTTTCTTTGGCCTCTAGCCTTGCTCTGGGCTGACTTAGGCTGACTTGTTGATTCCCTCTTGCATTCCATTACTAATTACAATCCATTGATAATTATATTCCATTAGAAATTATTTTTCTTTCTTCAGTGAAGGGTTGCCAAATCATAAAACTATGTAGTGCATGTATAGAGAAAAAACTAAGGCTTCCTTCCACCTGCCTTCCAATCCGGTTACGACGATAGTCCTCTCCAGATGAAGACCTTGGCACTCAGTGCCTGATTCATTTAGCAGGTTATCTTGTCTCCTTCTTCCAGAACGTGTCTGTTTTTTAAATCTAAATTCATATCTATCTTAAAAAACAGAGGAACCACTGCTCATGGTGACTGTGTTGGAAAGTTACTGATACGTGCAGTGCTATGCACTCTGCATCCCCTGTCCCGCATCATAGAAACAAGAAGCAGGTATCGGATGATCTGCAAGTGAGAGCTTACCCCCCGCCCCCGGGCTGGGGGGGGGGGCTTGCAAGGATAATTACTCTCAAATCAACCTTAATTATCTGCACACCCAGCATCCGCTATCATGGGAATTGCTGTTCGCCATGGCAGCTCCGGACTGGAAGTCCCATTCATTTCACTAATGTAATCTGCATTATAGTCAGGAAAGTTGAAAAATAATTATTGCAACCATAAATAGGATAAAGCTAAAGAATTCATGGTCCATTTTAAGGTATTTATTATTATTTATTATCCTAATTTTTTATTATTATAAAGTTATATAAACATAGTGGTTTATGTATAGAATACAATAATTACAAGGTCAATTGTAATACAACATTATCATAAAGGCAGCATAAAACATCCAGAAGGACTACTATTACAATCAAAAAGATCCTTGGAAACTAAGAAGGACTTTGGTGTTGAAAGGACAGTCAATTGAGTAATAATGAAAATTCCTTGGGGAGAACTTTCAACAACTGAGACATCACCACTGAGAAGGATCTCTTTCTGGAAACAAAACATCTCACTTCATAGTGGCATAGTCACCCATAAAGACCTCCATTGACAACACAATCCTGCACAAATGGGCCTACTCAAAAGTAAATTCAATTGAGTTCAATGGGCCTTATTCACTAGTAAATGTGTTCATGATTGCAACATGAAGTTCTTAATATATGGGCACATTAATATGGAAACAGGTGGTCCTTCAAATATTATGATTGATTGGGAAATGTTCAGATTTTATACACATATTATTGGGTGTTTATTCTCTTTTACGAGAAACAGACAGACAGAAATTTTATTGCAAATTAGAGAGATGAAAATTGATTCAGAATTAATCAGCATGGCTTTATTATAGTTTAAATGACCACAGAAAAGTAATTCCTATAAATACAACTAATTCTATACCCACATGACAAATTTTTGAATTGTCTGCTATATGCGACTCTTTTTAAATAATAATAATAATAATTATATAGCAGGAGGTATCACTTTTTTGTACCCCATCAGTTTCTTGATGGCTTCTTTCACTTCTTTGGTTTTCAGACTGTAAATAATGGGGTTCAGCATGGGGGTTGAAATGCTATATTGGGTGGGAAAGAGTTCATCCAGTAGTACAGACGAGGCTGAATTCGGCCTTAAATACCTAAAGCAGGCAGTGCCATAAAATAAAATGACAACAATGAGATGGGAACTGCAGGTGGAGAATGTTTTTCTTTTAGCTTCTGCTGAATTAAGCTTCAGAACCATAGAGACTATGTAGGTATATGACACCAGCATGACACAGATTGATGAAAGCACTACTGCACTACTTGTAATTAAGAATGTTATCGCATTCACAAAGGTTTCTGTGCAAGATAAGGCCAAGAGAGATGGGAGTTCACAGCTGAAATGCCTGATAGTGTTTGGACCACAGAACACCAGCTTCAGAACAGGAAATGTATTAATCAATGCATGTACAAAACCTATTGCCCATGAACCTCCCACCAGCAGCTTACAGAACGGTATATTCATAGTTTCAACATAATGAAGTGGCTTGCATATGGCAGCATATCGGTCATAAGCCATTGCTGTAAGAAGGAAGATTTCAGTGCATCCTGTCTGGATGATGAAAAACATTTGCATGATGCAGGTACTGTAAGAAATTCTTTGGCTATGGAAGAAATTCAGGAGAACCTTAGGCACCGTGACTGAAGAGTAGCAAATATCCAGAAAAGACAGTTGACTTAGGAAGAGGTACATAGGGCTCTGTAGATTACTGTCTTTCTTTATTACCATCATGATGATCGTGTTCCCTACCAAAGTTATTGCATACATGAGTAAAAACACCAGGAAGAGGCAAATACGGACTGGAAAACTGTAAGAAAATCCCACAAGAAGAAAATATGTCACAGTAGTTTGATTTTCCATTTCCTTTCCAACAAAAATGTAATCTGTGAAAAACAAACAAACATCTGATTGCAGCAAGGTTGTTCTGTTGTTCCTGAATAGTAGACTAAAGCATCTGAAATATTGTTGAGATGGGAACCATAATTCTAAAAACTTATATCAATTAAGAGCTGGATTCAGTCTATGTTGAGCAGCTTTAACCTCCACTGAGAAGTCAATGTCCATGCTCAATTTTTCTGCATCATTGAAACCAACCAACCAATCAATAAATCTTTATTGCAGTCATAGACCAGACAGCAAGATTAACCAACAGCCATTGTAGCCCAAACCAGTTCATGTTTCCTTGAAATGAAGTCCAGCTGGTCTCAGTGGGACATAATTCCATGCAAGCTATGCATGACATTTCAGCCTTTTACTTGCCTGTAATCAATGTTAGAAAGCTTATTAAAACGAGGTGTTCTTATATAATAAATAACACATTTTAAATAAATAGTATCAAAATTTCCTCAATATGCTGAGAGCATCATTTCATATTCAAACCCATAATATGGATCTTTGGTTAAATCCTAACTGGTCTAATAACAAAAGCAGCTGCCATCATCGAGATCACACAGTTGGGAAGTTGCTATCTTTCAACATTTCTCAGCCTTATTCACTAGTTTCTAAAAGTCTGCTTGAACAGACTTCTCTATTTGTCTTCCATAAGGACTGAAGATTAACAAAAAATGAATTGATTTAGTAAATCAGTGGCTCACAAGCCTTTTTTCCTAAGGACTGTTTGGTACAATTTAACGTCCAGGGTTGCCACCTTTTCCTTGGAAGACTTTCTGTCCCTTTAAGAGCTGAATGCCAATAATAAAATCAGCAGGCAATCACATTGCATCTCATTTCTGTTTCTGAAGGTTCCCATTTGCAGCAGTTTGCTCACTCTAAATATGCAGAAATCATCATATGGAAATATTTAGTGTGTGCGTGAGTCAGCCTTTAGAAGTGCTCCTTCAATGCCACTTTCTTACACAGAATGAAGTGAAATGCAAGGAAATTAATGGCAACTGAAATTTAGACCATCACCACAGTAGGGCTACTCTTCTTCCTAACAAATACTGCAATTTAAAATATAGGAGGGAGGGAGAGAGAGATGTAAAAGGAATAAATGTCATGTTACTATTAAGAGTGGATTAGAACAGTAGTCTTCATTCTTTTCAAACTTGGAACCCATATTTAAACCACGTGTGCATTTGCAGGACCACTTTTTACTTTTTTAGCCTTATGTTTGTAATTTGGTTGCACTGATGATGAAAACTACCTTGTAATGGCTCCACTTCCTACGTTCTAATTTATGTCTAGTGAGTGAGAAATTTCAAATGCTGTTTTTTTCTTTCCTTCCTGCTCGTTCTCACATAAGCAAGGATTTCTGCCTTAAAACACAATGAAATCATACATAAACATATCTCTTCTTTTCATTTCTTCTTTTTTCTTTTATAAAGGCCTAAGAAAAACCAATATGATCAGCAAAAACAGAGGGAAAGAGGAAATCAAGAAACATGCAAGAAGCTTTTGGAGGACATTGCCTTGAACCAGAGACTCAAACTTTTGTATATAATTACCTGACTGAAAAGGCGGAAATGAATTGGAAAAAGCACCTTTTATGTGTCAGTAAGAATGGTTCCCTTGTTCACTAAGACTAAGTGGAGTGTTTGCCATGATGTTATTATACTTGCTATAACAAACCCTGGAGAATATATTTTTCAGTGTGGAATGTGGCAACTTATATAGAAATACTCATCCCAAGAGGATAATTAAATTCATCAGTAGTGCATTCCTGCAAATGCCTGTGAATTTTGTTCTGTTTTGTTTTAGTGGGAGAAGCTTTTCTGCCATGGTGGCAAATATGGATAAACATGCAGAGGGTAGCTTGGGACCAGTTGGCACGGTGGTTCCAAATTGTGGCAATTAGGGTTCTTGTGCCTCTGAATATGTATGAGTATATAATTGCTCAATTGGTGTGCGTTCATCCAATTTGGCATGGTGATTCCAAACTGTGGCAACTTGAATGCCTCTAAATATATTGTTGCTATATTTTTGTTTATCTGTAACAGAGTGAAGAATGTAGGCTTCATCTAAGTTTATTTCGTTCAAGACGGCCAAGGAAACATTCCAAACTGCAACAATTTGGATGCCTCTGGAGATATTGTTGCTGAATTTGACACGACAGTTCATGAGATAAAGGACCAGATTTTGGCATACTGTATACAGTGGTACATCGGTCTATGATCTTAATTCGTTCCGGAAGTCCATGCTTAAACCAAAGCATTCTTAAATCGAGGTGCGCTTTCCCTACTGAGGCCTCCCGCCACCAGTGCCCTTCCACCGTTTAACTTCCGTTTGGCTTCCGAGGCAAAGTTCACTAGCCGGAACACCTTCTTCTGTTTTTGCAGAGTTTGTTGCCCAAATAGTTCATTAACAGGACTGTTTGTAGACTGAGGTACCACTGTATTTTGATACTGCAGTTATTCATGTACACAAGAACACTGATTGCACACTTGTTTAATATAATGTGTGAGCACCCCTAGTGCAACTGTATGAAATTTAGCTAAGGCAAACGTAAATGAGAGTTTACATTTCATCCAAGGGTAACCCTGCCATTCAGGAGGGTGAAGCAACAGGCATCAGTGAGAATTCTGAAAGGGAGATAGATTACAAGCAGGAGTTTATTGAATCATGCAGCAAAAGTTTTAAAAATGTTTATCCTTGTGAGGAGCGTTTGGACTCCATATCAGAAAACAAAATGTCTTGGTTCAACATTGATTTCAGCTTGACAAAAGTTAAATCTCACTTTACTACTGTTTTGGTGAATAGTCACATTTATTTGTTCACTATCATGTCCCACTTTCAAACAGGTTTACAATAACATAACAAAAACACACATAATTTTAAAAGCCATTAAACAAATATTACATAAAAGTAATAGTACTATAATTACAAAAAAGAAACAATAGTGATTATTTTTTTATAAAAAACAACAACAGCCCTGAACATCCTGCTAATTGTAAGAGATGTGTTAAACTAAGTCCAGTAAGAATGTAAAATATTAAAATTCACCACAGCTTTTAAAAACAAACAAACAAGATTGGAATAGCTCCTTTAAAAGGTAGCGAAGAAGACCCCATATACTCATTGCTGTTACAATTCACCAATTAAGCACCATTTAAGCAAACAAGCAAGCACATAACCATACAGACTGATGACAGCTGGGTTACAAATATGTCATTCAGGCACAAAATTGCATTTTGTTTTATAAAAATAATAATTTTAGTGGCTGATAATGCTAATACTAGAACTAGGGTTCACATTATGAATTTGAGTGGCAATATACCACAAAATTGTAGTCTTCAAGCAATACATATTTAACTAACTAGTGGGGTTTCATTGCTATATGATGTGGGGATTGCTTCTCAGTTAGGTCACTTTAAATACTTGTGGAAGCTAACAACAAATATTAGCTATCCTCAGAGCCTATGAATATCAGTTTCTGCTGTGTACTGGGAAGGTGAGTGGGAGGGACAAGGTCATGGTGCTTCAGATACATTAGTGTGATCAATTCAGCAATCCTGGAAGTGTGGATTTATGAATGGACACACAAGAAAGTGATATAGATTATATTAGTCCACCCATTCTTAGCTTCAAATCTCACCAATCCTACCTAGGCATGCCTCCAACACATTTCCTCAGCAATATATGGATAAACTCTCCTTTTTCATTTAACACATCTTCACTCCTAATAACCTCATGCATAAACAGGGAACTTCTGGCCCTTCAAGAGTTGTTTACATCACTGCAAGCCCAAGTGACCAATCAGGTTCCCCATTCCTATGCTTTCGTTCAGTGGCAGTTTAAGCATATGACTTGGATGCTGGAGAAAAAGTTCAACTTCCTCACCTTCTACCTGAGCTTCCAAGAGGCATTGTGCTGGATGACCATTGGCTGGATTCAGAGGGCTAGACTAGATGAAGGCAGAAGATGTCCACCAGAACAGAAGCTAAATGCAAGGCAGTAGATCCAAACCATAAACACAGAACTCAAATTTCACTCCATTTCCCCTATATAATTCATATCATTCATTTTCTCTCTCCAGATTTCCATTAAGGAAAAAAAAAAAGAACCCTTCTATATTTCCCATTAGTTAAATGTCCCCTTGGTCTTTTTCCCCCATGAAAGCAAATTGATTCCAGTTCTGTCTTCTTCAACCTAATCTTATGCCTCAGCTTTGTTTTGGGGTCTTTTTTAGTCTAACTCCAGCATCAAGGGAAGCATGACATTTTAAAAACAGGGAGCTGCTCTCCTCATTAGCCCTTAAGATGTTTGGCGGATATATACACATGTACACCATTTTAAATGATAGCTTGTGACACTGTGCACTTTTCTAGAATTGAGTCTAATTTTATTGAAGAAACTTACACTTTCCAAACTTCTTCAACAGAGCATTTTTGATATCCTTGTTCTTCAAGCTGTAAATGAGAGGGTTTAACATGGGAGTTAAGATGCTGTACTGCACCGACACTAATTTGTCCAGGTAGGCGAGTGATTCTGAACTTGGCTTCATGTACCGGAAAAAAGCTGCAATGTAAAACAATCCCACCACAATGAGGTGAGAGCTGCAAGTGGAGAAGGCTTTATGCCTGCTTTCTGCTGAACGAATCTTCACGATGGTTGAAATAATGTAAACATAAGAGATGAGGGTAAGGAGAAAGGAGCCAAGACCAAACACCAACACAGTGATAAGAAGAACAATGTAATTTATGAGGGTCTGGGTACAAGCCAAGGCCAAGACTGAAGGAAGCTCACAGCTGTAATGGTCAATAATATTGTTCCCGCAAAAATGCAAATTCACCAAAGGTGGAACATTCAACACAGCATAGAAGGTACCCATAGCCCAAGATCCACCCACTAGCTGTCTGCAGATTTCTTTTTTCATGATTGTGGTATAATGCAGTGGATCACATATAGCAATGTATCGGTCATAAGCCATTGCTGAAAGGATGAATACTTCAGCACAAGCAGCCTGGAAAAAGAAGAAGATCTGTGCAATGCATCCTTCCCAGGAAATCGTTTTCTGCTTTGCTATGATATTTTCCAACATCTTGGGAACAGTGACAGATGAATAGCAGATGTCAACAAAAGCTAAATGACTAAGAAAGAAGAACATGGGGGTTTGAAGGCTACACTCAGTTCTAATCACCAGCATGATTGCAGAATTTCCTAACAATGTTACCAAAAAAATTATTAAGAACACCAAGAAGAGAAACACCTGAAGATGTGGATCTCTGGAGAGTCCTGAGAGTATAAACTCTGTAATTGCAGTTTGATTTTCCATCTCAATGAATTTAAAAGCCTTAACACCTGTACAAATTAAAAAAAGAAATAGAATTTATTCAATTTGTAGAAAGCTCTGAAAAATGATTAATAAATGCATAAATGTAGGGGAAGTATTTTCTGAATTTTTAACCCTATTTACCTGGGAGTAAGCGCCACTGAATTCAATATGATCTACTGTATCTCTATCTGGACATAGTTATGATTGCTTTGATGCAGCCAAGAACTAGACTGTTGATTCAAGCGCTAATTGTTTGTGTAGAGATTTCACATTTGCAGTTCCACACTCACTGCACAAAAGGAAATTGGATGCACACACATGTGCAACCACTTCAAGATTGTTTCTTTCTTTTTTAAGGTGGAGGTCAATATGCATGCTAATGTTTAATGTTGGGGGGGGGTGAGGTTTATTTGATCTGAATGGATGGAAAACAAACTGTGTACACATAGCATTTTACATACCTGACAGGGACAAGGGAGACCACTGACCCAATAGTTCCATACTGGGCACAAGGCCATGTAATTCCAAACTCTAAATTCCAGACAGAATGCTAAATGTGGGAAGGGAGGGTTTTTTAAAAAAATGGAGGGAGGTTTTTGTAGATGAAAAGCAAGACTATAAACAGTCAAACTATTTCCTAGCACACATTTGGTGGTTGGAAAACTTTGACCTGTTGTACATCTGCCTATTATAAAAAAGGAAGCAGCTCTGAGAACATGTGAGCCCCCTTCCATTTCCAGATTTGTCCTCAGAGATCAAACTTAGGTATGCTGCTCTTAATGTGGAAACTGTTCAATCTCAATTTTGAGACCCATGTCTACTTGGTAAGACCAATAATGTCATCTCAGTTCTGCTGGCATACATGAAAAAGATGAATTTTCAGATTTATGGATATGTTGATCATGATTTTTTGTTAGGTACTGGTCCTTTATTGGTCCATCTAGCTCAGTACTGTCTAAACTGACTTGCAATGGCTCTCCAGAATTTCTGAAAAGAATAAGTCTAGTCTGACCTGGAAGTACAAGGGATTAACTTGAGACTTTCTGCATGCAAAGCAGATGCTCTATCACTGAGCTTTTAGCTCTTTAGCCAGTATAGGAGACAGTGGTCCTTTCTGGTTTGTATATACTAGAACAGCCTACATTTTTCATTTTTAAAGGCTGAAATTTTGAAGCAAATTTGTAGAATTTTTAAACTGCTGAAACATTTGGGAGGATTAGAAAGTACTAAAAAGTTGTCAGAAGACTAGCAAATATGTTCGGCTTCTTTGTGAATCTTAGTTATTTACTGTGATTTCGTGTTTCCAAGTGCAAGTCACTGGAATCTTTAGGAAAATATTGAATAATTCTGCAAATTGATAGCATGTACTGGTTACTGTCTATTTAAGATCGCCCAGCACATAAAACACACTGAATTAAACTATTCATAAATATCAGAAAGAGATTGCCACTTACCTGATAGCTAATCCAGATGCGCAACAACTGCCACTGCCCTTAGGTTTGACTGGAGCTGCATCTCAAAGAGATCTCCATCCACTTTACAATTACTTTAAAAAATGACGATTTGAAACAAATCTTGGTGAAATCCCCAAAGAAAATAAAGATCACTCATATTATCATATTGCTCATTTAGATCATGGCTGGGGAACCGGTTGCTGGTTTTCAGTTCATGACCTTTGGCCCTGTCATCTGGGGCTGAATGCGACCTCGACTCCAAACAGCATCTAGCTGGTCAAAGTTTTTTCATCTGTGACAGAAAGAAAAAATATTTCAGGGTCCCTGCTGTGCACACTGAAAGGGAATGATTGAAATCACTGCCAACTCTACAAAAGCCTGATTTTTTTTTAATGTGCATTGTTCAGTGTCCATTCTGCCTATGTACTGGACAATTTTTTAAGTGAGCAAGATGGTATAGAAAGGATGGTGATGTGATGTCACATTCATTTTTCTGGAATTAATCCCATGAAATTTATCTTGCCAACTGACTTTCTCCTGGGATGCCTTTTTCATTAAATGAAACTGTATTAGTTCTTCCTTCCAAAAAACAACAACACATTTATTATAGGTTTTACAAGTCAGTTGAACATTAAGGTGTGATAGACTCCTTTAGATATAGAGATGCCTTACAATGAGACAGACCAGGGCCACATATCCTACTCCATATTGTCAACAACTGCAACTTTCAGTCAGGAATGGGCAAAATGAATCTGCTTGAGTTTGTGTCCATTTTGGTATATGCCTACTGGCAAAGCCCACTCTGCTCCATGTCTACATTGCAATTTTTAGGAAATAACTATTGTGAAATCTGCATTTCTTTAACTGTTTCTCTCTGTCTCTCTCTTTGTATATGTGTAACTTTCTAGGTGGTTTGAAGGTTGTGCTTTCTCCTTCGATAATAATAATAATAATAATATTAATAATAATAATAATAATACTGTAATCATAACCCCAATTTCAAGCTGTTTGGAGCAACTGGAATGTCAAGTTCATTCACAATGTATTTAAATCATCACACTTTATTACAAAACATACTCCCCCCCTATAATTGATGGGAGGTGCCTCTTGCTGGAGTCCAGTAGAAAGCATCAGCACACATCCAAGAGACATGTGCATGATATAACACATATTAGCAGAGTCAGCGAAAGCAAAATTATGTAGGAATTGTGGCATCAAGTATTTTATTATTTACAACAAAAAAATGGCATTTTGTGTCAGTGGAAAATATGTACAATAATATCCCTTGCAGATTTAGAGGGGCTTCCTTAGTGGGCACAAAGAAAGGATTACCCACCATAATGTACAACCACTTCCAGGTCAGTTTTAGATGCCATTTCAATGAAGCACTGTGCTTTCTAGCTGCTCCAAGCAGTTAGAAAATGTTTTTAGAAAAAAATAAAAATAAAAGTAGCTCTTGTGTGTATTTTGAGAAACTACTGCTCACTAAACCATACCCAGTAAAGTTTTGCAGATATTTGGCCTAATTTGCCTATCTGAAATGCCTCATTGTTTCCTTAGAGCCAGGTGATGTAAATTTTAATCATATAGCCGCTAAGAATTTGGTTGCCATGTTGTTTGTGTACAGTGGCGTAGTGTGGGGGGTGCAGGGGGTGCCGGCCGCACCGGGCGCAACATCTGGGGGGGCGCGCTCGCACTCCCAGCTCTCTGCCCGTACCTGGCTCACTCACTCTCTCTCACTGCAGTGCTGGCTGTGCGAATCCGATCCGAGCCGCTGGGTTGCCGCCCACTGTGGAGGGGGTGGGTGCCAGGCATGCGGTGCGGAGAGAGAGCGAGGGACTATCTGGGGGACGGACAGTGCAGCGGCCGCCCAGCGCAGCGATGAGCACAGGAGAGAACCACACCAGACCAGACCAGGCAGCAGCAAGAAGAAGCTGGCAGCGGCGGCAGGTTAGGGGTTAGGGGGCGCAAATTACTTGCCTTGCCCTGGGTTAGGGGGTGCAAATTACTTGCCTTGCACCGGGTGCTGACAACCCACGCTACGCCGCTGTTTGTGTAGTTGTTTGTGTATTTCCCCATGCATTTTAGTGCCAAAAGGGCATATGTTGCTGACCAGTCATGTAGTAGAAGGAAGACACTAGGGAATGAAGTTCCATAACTATTTTTTAGAGCAGGAGCAATGGTGTTACTGCTGGAGTGCCAAAGCTAGGCTCTTCTGATTTTGGCAAGTGAAGGAGTTGGCAGGCATGCTTACAGATTAAAAGAAAATTGCCTAAGACATAATAAAACCCTCTCTCTGAAACCAATTCAAATAAGAAATTCTATAAAATATAGTTCATCTTAAAAATTAGCAGTCATAGTTCCCCACAGCTGAGTAAAGCTGAACATAACACATCAATCATGTAGTGTGGACTGACATGTACTGGGCAATGCGTAATTACCATTGACATATTTGCAATCCCAATCAGTCAGACCAATGAAGAGACCCTACTAAACTGAATCTGGTTGATGGGCTCCACTTTTACCTGCTGGAATACAAACCTTGTGGACCTTTTCCATGAGATTGCTTATTTGCTTTACAGATGCATGGAGAAAAGCAAAAGAGAATTGGGCATGTGTGCGTCTAAAATTTGCAATGTTTGTGGTGTGTAATGGAAGGGAAAATTATTGACAACCATGTTAATCAACTGTTTTATGAAATAAAAGATTGGGGTCATACAACCAATGGGACACAATCTTCTCATTACACACTGTTCTGTTGATTTGAATTGGGAATGAATATCAAGATTTCATTCTCAATATCCTCCTAAGCACCGCTTTCACCTCCTTGTTCTGCAAGCTGTAGATGATGGGATTTAACAAAGGGGTAAGAATGCTGTACTCTATGGACAATATTACATCCAAAAGTACTGACGAAGCTGAGCTTGGCCTCAGATATCGGAAGTAACCTGTTCCATAGAAGAGACTGACTACAGTGAGGTGGGAGCTGCAGGTAGAGAAAGCTTTACGTCTCCCTTCAGATGAATTTATCCTCAGTATGGTGGAGATGATATGAATGTAAGACAGCACAGTGAGGAACAGGGATACAAGCCCAACTGTACTCCCAGAAATGAAGAACAGCATTTTATTTAAGAAAGTATCATTGCAGGAGAGAGAAAGGATGGAAGGGAGCTCACAACTGAAATGATTTATGATATTTGAGCCACAGAACTGTAGCCTTAACAGTGGCAATGTGTTTGCAAGTGCATAAACAAAACTAATCATCCATGCACTGGCCACTAGCTTTTGGCAGAATGCCACATTCATGATTTCCACATAATGCAGTGGTTTACATATAGCACAGTATCTGTCATAAGCCATCGATGAGAGGATAAAAACTTCAGCAGTAGCCGAGAACAAAATA